CGCACCATGAAGGCCACGGGCAGGAGGATCAGAAGACGTTCTGACCTCCCGGGAGGGCCCGAGAGGGACCCTCGTATGGGGAGAGGAATGGCGTGAGCCGTTGCCTCACCTGCGGAAAGTGAGCCTTTCCCAGGTCTGAGTTTGGTATCTGTGGGCGACATGGCGCCCCAGGATGGAGCCGGCGAAGTGTGGCCAGCATGGTGGTTCGGGGCCCCCTGGCGGCGTTGGGTCGGAGGGGGGCTCCCGCGGGGCTCAGTCTGCGCATTGGAGCGCGGCTGGGCAGTGGTGGCCTCGCTCGGGGAGCAGGCACCTGGGCTAATTTGCTGGCTGTCTGGAGAAGGGGAGGCGGAGCCGGGAAGCCGCTGGGGCGACCCGCACTTTCTCCTCGGGGGCTGCCTGAGTAGCGTGGCTGGGGCTGCCGCCAAAGCAGCCTCGCTCCGGGGGCCTGGGCCCTGGTGGCCTGGGCCAGCGTGGAGGCATCTGGTCCCTGGCGACATCCGGTACTGGAGAAGAGCTCAAGGGCGAATCTCTGTGCTCAGTAAAGTGAAAAGGCCAGTTCAAAACGAGTGCGCATAGTTTTGGGCTGTGCTTAAAAACACTTTTCTGGGTACAGAATAAGTTTTAAAAGTGGTGGAGATAAATTAAAACTGGTTTCCCAAGTCATTGTAAGCAGCTTTTGAAATTCCCCGCCATGAGGCGGAAACTAGATGGTAATGGTAACAAGTTTACGTGAATGGTGGTGAATGGCCCTGAATGGCCAGGAGTCTTTAGGTAAAGAATGTGTTCATTTGCATTTGAATGCTGCTCCAGCTTCAGGGAGTGGCAGGTAATTGGTGGTGAAGCAGCCCACAATGGTTAGTTTTCCTTGTCATTGGTATCAGCTAAGCAGAGTCATATAGCTACTTAAGTATGAATTGTGATTGACCTATGATTTTCTGACATTGTCTTAAATCCTAGTAAACTGCCTCTGGTGTGAAGAGGTCTAGGGGAGGCCGGAGAGCGCAAGACTATTAGCTCTCCTACAAAGAGATTATTCAGTGCTTTGTTTGAACTTCAGGAAAAAAATTTTTGAGATCTGAAAAAATTGTATGATTAGATCTGTTGCTGAAACTTTACCCTAAATAAGCAGGATGTGTTAGAAATGTAATGTTATTAATCTAAGAAATGCCAAATTTATTTGACTTGCCAGCTTTAAAAGTTATAAGTTGATTTAGGAAAAGGTAATTGCAGTAACTAGATGCCTAGAATATGGCAGGCTAAACTGTATTATATATGTTAAGAATAAGCAGTAATGATCAAAGATCTCAAGGATTGATTTATTCTCATTTGTCAGATGAAAAAGTATGTAATGCTTACACTTAAAAAAATTATTTTAAGTCAGTGATGCAGTATTTTTTTAAAAGTCAGTTTTTCTAAAGTAATGTTTAATGTAACATATGAAACTTTTATATTTGATTTGTTTTGTTTTGCTTTTTTCATATGCCATTGTTGTTGAATTTGGGCTTGTACCTGCATCTTGTATTTTGTTTAAACTTTGGGAATAATTTTTGGTTTCAGTCATGTGTATCTACTTTATAGATTTAAGTAGACTTCATCACAAAGGTTTATAATTTATTTAGAATTGTGTTAAAACAATGTGAAAACAATTATTTGTATGATTAACCCCCCGAGACTGCTTGGACAATTTTCACCGATGTTCTGCAGTGGGGAGTAGAGGGGCTTAGAAATGTAGATAAATCTATATCTGTAGGGAAAATGTGGCATTTTACATTTCAGGTGGCTGTTAGAGGCCTGGGAACAGGTACTGGACCTGCTCCCTCCTCCCTTGCCTTTTAAAATTTGAGGCATGGTTATGTATTTTTGGAAGATAAGATTTTTATAGAAATTATAAAGAGTATGTCCTGACAGGTTAGCTAGGAGAGGCAAGCCTTTTAGTTTCCTGATGGGCATGGGGGCACCCTATTTAGTCTTGAGAGAGCCAATAGGACCCGTACATCAGCCCAGGAAGCCACCGGACAAACTACCTGTTTTCCTTGGACATCAAGAAGGACTGTGGTCCTCGGAAGGAACACGTACTGGGGGAATGCAGCTGTTGAACTGGTCCAAAGTGGAACAATGGATCTTTGAGGAGCTAAAGAAGGCTCTCATCTCAGCAGCTGCCCTAGCCTTGCCGGACGACGCGGAGCCCTTCCACCCCTACGTGAGTGAGGTAAAAGACATTGCCAAAGGGGTTCTCACTCAGACTCTAGGTCCCTGGAAGAGACCTGTTGCCTATCTGTCTAAGAGACTGGACCCTGTGGCAGCCACAGCATTGTTGGTGAAGGAGGCAGATAAGTGGACTCTGGACCAGGAGCTAACCTGGATGGGCCAGGCTTTTCTCCTGGACCAGCCCTGTGTCCAGATTCAGAAAACTCTGGCCATCAACCCTGCCAGCCTGCTTCCAGATGATGATGATGGAACCCATTCATGACTGCACAGAGGTAACAGACGACAAGGTACTGTTCATGGATGGGAGCAGTTATGTTCAGGATGGGACCTGATATGCAGGGGCAGTGGTAGTCACCTTGGACCACACCATTTGGGCACAGTTCCAGAACTTTTGGCCTTAATCCAGGCCCTTTGATAGAAACACTGTGCCATCCACAAAGAAAAGAGGGGTACCAACTGCAGCCAGAAGGAATTGGCTGACCAGAAGCAAGCCACTGAAGGACCAGATGGTTGATGGACCCTCCAGATGACAAGACTGTTGGTCCCAGAGGCTCTAGGTCAGAGTTGCCCGGTGACACCAGGTTAAGTGTCACCAAGACTTCTGAACTTCTGTGAGGCAGAGTTGCTAGAAGTACTGTCTGTGCACAGGTAAATGCTAAGCAAGGTAAGGGGATCCCCCCTGGGAATTCAGGTCCCAGGGAACCTCCCCAGGAGAGCATTGGTAGGTGGATTTCAGAGATTAAACCACCAGCATTAAGGTCTAGTTTTTATAGACACTTCAGATTAGGTTGAGGTATACCCCACTATCAGATAACAGCCCTCCCCTTGGTAGCTAAGGTATCTCATAGCTCTAGCCTTAGGACAGGCGAGACTCTTGAAAAGGGGGTTTAACTAAATGTGTCTTAGATTCGGTGAAAATTGGACCAACCCCCTGTCCTTTGCCCTCTTGAGGGCCAGGTGTACGCCTTATTGGGACAAGTTTCCCCTTTTTGGGAGGGGATCATGTATGGTAACCATTTCCTTGCTCAAGTCCTTACAGGCTCTGCAGTTTGCTTGTTCCAGATGCACTGCCAGTGCCCACCGCAGACCCTGTAGCCCTGGAACTCAATGTGGGTAAAGAAATTTGCTGCCCAAGGACTCAAAGGGATGCTGCACTGTTATCCTGAGCACGCCCACTGCTGTTGAAGTAGATGGCACCCAGACCTGACTACATGACTCCCAGCTCCTGCATGGCCTGGATCCTGGCAACTACAGGCCAGGAGGAGAACTGATGCCTGCAGGAGGGGAACTGGACTTCAGTGAGGACAATACTGATGGGAACTGTGGTACTAAGGGTCTTGATAACTGTATTTGTTGTTTATGCTGAAAGGAAGTAGGCTGCTGAGTCAATGATTTGACTAGGCACATTAGACAAGGGGGGAATGAAAGGGCAGGGCGGGGCGAGGATGAGCTCCCAACTCCGCCCCGTAGGGCGGAGTTATCCCTAGCCCTCAAAACCCCTGGACCGGAAGAAATTCGCTCTCTTCCGCCATGCTGCCGGCATGAGTGGGGGAGCACATGCTAGCATGGTGAAGGCTCTCTTGCTTATTGCATCGGACTTGGCTCCCTGGTGGTCCTTGGGGATCACGAAGTCTGGGCATAACAGCTGCTTGCTTGGGATTCCGCCTCACAGCCCCGTCTCCCCCGCTGGAGCCTGGGTCCCCAGGGTCTGGCTCATAACTGGGGGTCAGCGCTGCCGGTTCGGGGGTTTAGCCCAGGCTGGGGGTTTTATTTTCTTCCTGCTAGGGAACGCCAGGCAGCACCCAGCCCTCTCCTCCTCTCCGGCTGCGACCTCTCTGCGCGCGTGCGCATGCTAGCGCGCAGCATGTCTCCGTACCTTAGACTTTTTTTCAGCTCCTCTGATTTTCCTTCTGGTTTTCTCTTTCCTTCTTGTTGTAGAATTTTCAGTCAGTCGACTACCTGTAGCTCTGGGCGATGTCCACTCTACATTTTAGTTGTATTCCATTGAAATTGTTGTGTGCTGCTGCGGTTAGGTGTCTACCCGAGCAGCCATCTTGGATCCTCCCGTTTAGAGAATTCTTAGAATCTAGTCTGACTTGAGGGCTGGGCCGCTCCAGTATACAATCCTCAAACCTCTGCTCTCTAGCCTTCCGATGGAATGATTCTTTCTCCCTAACTCCGAGAGGAAGGAGGGTGGACTGAGAGGGCGAGTAGAAAAGGCAGCCCACCTGTTTTCTTGAGTTTCCCACCAAGTCCTCTCCCCTGGATATTTTGTTATTCCTCACCTGAGGACATTTTTTTTCCCCATTGATTTTTAGAGAGAATGGAAGAGGGGGAGAGAGAGAGAAACATCAACGTGAGAGTCACATTGATTGGCTGCCTCCCAAACAAGCTCCCAACAAGGGCCAGGGATGTAGCCTGCCACTGAGTTACGTGCCCTTGACTGGAATAAAACCAGACCCTTCAGTCTACAGGCCTACGCCCTATCCACTGAGCCAAACCTTTCTTATGTATAGTACACACATAGTGCACTGTTTAATCTATAAATAAATACTTTTCTTAAACTTATGGGACCAACCCCTACTAGCCTTAAGTGAATTTTTCATTTATCACTGCCTTAGAAATGCTACCACCAGCTAACTGCTTTTCCTTTTTCCAATCAGCAACTCCATTACCTGTGGTTGTTTTATTATCACTTTCACACCCTTTAGCAACATTAGCACTCTTGATAGTCTCTATGTTTTAAAATTGTGCTAAACCAAAGCATTTTCTCCTTTGTTTGTTGCCTGACCGATGCTTTTTGTCATGCTGAAGTATCAGCAGGAAAGGGTTGTCAGGTCAAAAACTGAAGTTTTGGTTTACAATTTAGACATTTTTTTTTTTGTAAACAACTTGGTCAAGAATCGTATTGTTTATGATGAGAGATGTTTGTATTGTTTAAGATGAGAGATGTTCAGGAACTGAGCTCTGTTTGTATTATGTATGGACCATTTTGAATTCAATTGCCCTCTCTCCCATTCCCCCACATAACAGTAAATCCTAAACATCTGCCAGTCATCTAAGCTCAAGACAGTTGTTTTTTTACAAAAGTCTGTAATATTAAAAAAAAAAAAAAAAAAAATTAACCACTGGCCAGTATGGCTTAACTGTTTGGAGCGTTGACTGCACTGGAAGGTTGCCAGTTTGATTCCAGGTCAGGGCATATACAGGAAGCAGTCAATCGATTTGTGTCTCTCACATTGATGTTTCTATCCCTGCATTTGTCCCTTTCTAAAAATTCAATTTATCTCCAACATCTACAGACAGCTTATACAACTAAATAAAAGGAAGATGAATAATCCAATAAAAAAATGGGCAATGGACATAAATATAATATTTTCAAAAGAAGACAGAAGGAAGGCCAAAAGGCACATGAAAACATGCTCAAAGTCACTATCCGAGAAATGCAAATCAAAACAACAATGCGGTACCATCTCACACCTGTCAGAATGGCCAACATCAACAAATCAACAAACGACAAGTGTTGGCGAGGTTGCGGAGAAAAAGGAACCCTTGTGCACTGCTGGTGGGAATGCAGACTGGTGCAACCACTGTGGAGAACAGTATGGAGTTTCCTCAAAAAACTGAACATGGAACTCCCATTTGACCCAGTAATCCCACTCCTAGGATTATATCCCAAGAAACTAGAAACACCAATCAGAAAGAATATATGCACCCCTATGTTCATAGCAGCACAATCTACAATAGCTAGAATTTGGAAACAGCCTAGGTGCCCGTCAGCAGATGATTGAATCAAAAAACTATGGTACATCTACACAATGGAATACTATGCTGCCATAAAGAAGAAGAAATTCTCATCATTTGCAGCAACCTGGATGGGATTGGAGAACATCATGCTGAGTGAAATAAGCCAATCAATGAAAGAGAAACACCACATGACCTCACTCATTTATGGATAATAATATTATAAACTGATGAACCAAAAGATAGATATAGAGAGAGTAAAGCAACAAGCAGACTGTCAAATTACAGTGGGGAGGGTAGGGAGATCTGGAGGAGATAAGAGATCAACCGAAGGACTTGTATACATGCATATAAGTACAACTAATGGACACAAAATTCTGGGGAGGGAGGGTATGTATGAGGGGGGGCAATGGTAAGATATGTACACAGATAATGTAATTTAAAAAATAATAAAAAATAAATAAAAATTCAATTTAAACACGCACACACCAGTAAACTCAAAACTGCTTCATAAAAAATAATTTTTTATCCCTGACCTGTTAGCTCAGTTAGTTGGTTGGAGTGTCATCCTGATGCACCAGGGTTGCAGGTTTGGACTGGGGTTGGGCACATGCAAGAATCAGCCAGTGAATGCATGGATGGGTAAAGCAATAGGTCGATGCTTTTCTCTTTTTAAAATTTCTTATTTTTCAATTATCGTTGATTACAACATTATGTTACTTTCAGATGTGCAGCCCAGTGATTAGACATTTCTATAACTAATTCACAATCACCCTAATCTATTATCCATCTGAAATCATACATATTTATTACAATACTAGAGGCCCTGTGCACGACATTTGTGCACTGGGGGAAGGGGATGCGGTCCCTCAGCCCAGCCTGCGCCCTTTATTGCAGTGCAGTTCAGGAGCTCTTGGGGGGTGTCCGATTGATGGCTTAGGGCACATGTGTCAAACACAAGGCCCACAGGCCAAATCCGTCCCGCCAGGCCTTGCAATGTGGCCCGCACCGCGCTGTCATCACTGCACTCCGCTGCGTTTCCATCACAATGACAGTTTATGACTGTTCAGTAAACCATTCGGCCCGCGATTTAGGCTGGATTTTAGATTTTGGCCCCTTCTCTGATTGAGTTCGACACCCCTAGCTTAGGGAGTGGGTTGTGGGGAGAGGGCCTAAGCCACAAGTCAAACATACCGCCACTGCAGTTGCACTCGCCAGCTGTCAGCCCAACTTCTGGCTGAGCATCACTCCCTCTCCCCCAGCACACGGACCACCAGGGTCAGCTCCTGCGTTGAGCATCTGCCCCCTGGTGGTCAGTGTGCGTCATACCTTCCAGTCATTCTGCCATTTGATTTGCCTATTACCTTTTTATTATGTAGGATTATTGGCTATATTCCCTATGCTGTACTTCAAAGATTTAAAAATATATATATTTAGAGAAAGGAAAGGAGAGAGAGAAAGAAACATCAATTGATTGCCTCTCACACACACGCCCAGACCAGGTATCGAACCCACCTTTCAGTGTACGGGATGACACTCCAACCAACTGAGCCACATCCACCAGAACCCTGCGCTATATTTTCAATCTCTGACTATTCTGTAGCTGCCAATTTATACTATTTACTTATTATTTTTTAAATTTAAACTTCTTAATCCTTTCACCCTTTTCACCCATCCTGTGAAACCCCTCCCCTCTGGCAACTGTCAAAATGTATGAGTCTGTTTCTGTTCTGCTTGTTAATTTCATTTTCTAGATTCCACATGACTGAAATCATCTGGCATTTTGTCTTTGAGTGACTTACTTCAAGGGCTGAATTTATTTGATTCTGCCAGTCAGGGTGAGTTCTCTTGGCTTCACATGAGCCACAGGGTTGATTTCCAGGGGTGAGATCCCCCTTTCATCCTGCCAGGTTCTGAGAAGGCCAGAGAAACCCTGCTGTCCCAGGAAGGAGAGACAGATCATATCTGATGACAGCCTCCAAGCAAGAGGTCCTGGAATCACTAATGAGCATGAAGAAGCTCTGCTGGATCAGGCCCACTGAGCAAAGAGAGAGATGGGGGGCAGGGGAGAGGGAGGGACTGGTGCTATGAGGGGTCTGATTCTAAATACATGCCTCCTCCTGGCCCAGCCCTCACTGCTCCCTGGAAGTCTTCATTTTCCTGTACTCTTGTCCCCGTGACCCCTTTTTCTCCCCTATAAGTTAAATCTACCACTCCTCTCATTCTCATTCGGTAACTTCACCTTCTAAATAAAAGCTGTTTGAAAAGAACCCTTTCACCCTCCCTTCCTGTTGGCATTTATACACTTATCTGGGGTCGCACGCCTCCTGCCTCCTCCCTTCCTGTCCTAATGTACCTTCTTCCTGCGCTTGGCCGGTCCCTGCCCCGTGCTCATCTCTACCCCTGCTCTTCACAGCTCTTCAGGGCTTTCCTCTATCCTCGATCTCCCTGTACTTTAGGGATTTTTGTTTGTACTGGCTCCTTCCACCAGTATCTGAACATGCCCACATCTCTGGGCATACTCCTTTTCATTTCCTAATTAAAACAAAAATTTTAAGTTAGGAAACACATTCACATTCAAAATTCAGCAGGTATAGCCGAAACCGTTTTGGCTCAGTGGATAGAGCATAGGCCTGCGAACTGAAAGGTCCAGGTTCAATTCCGGTCAAGGGGGTGTTCAGGAGGCAGCTGATCGATGATTTTCTCTCATCGATGTTTCTAACTTTATCCCTCTCTCTCCTCTCTGTAAAAAATCAATAAAATATATATTTTTAAAAGATTCAGCAGGTACATATTGATAGGTCTCCTACCCCTCCACTGGCCAGGCCCCTGAATGGAAGTAACCAGTATACTGGTTTCTTTCTTTTTTTAATATGTTTTCTTGATTTTCTATAGAGAGAAAGGGAGAGGGATAATTAGAAACATCGATGGGAGAGAAACATCAATCAGCTGCCTCCTGCTCATATCCTACAGGGTATGTGCCTGCAACCAAGGTACATGCCCTTGACTGGAATTGAACCCGGGACCTTTCAGTCCACAGGCTGACACTCTATCCACTGAGCCAAACCAGTTAGAGCTATACTGGTTTCTTTTATCCCTCCACTGTTATGCATGAACAAGGAATTATGTTTACATTATTTTTCCCACCTATTTTTTTTTACACAAAAAACTAACAGGTTATACACATTTCCTTGTTCTTTGCTTTTTTTCCATTTAAAGCTATCTTGGAGATCATTCTATATTGAATAGCAAAGAGCTGCTTCCTTAGTCTTACAGCTGTAGTGATGTAGACTATACAAAAAAATTATTTCACCAATATCTCAAGTTAACTAGCTCCTCGGACAGATGGACCCATAGTCGTAGTGGCTCAACAGAGTAAAAATATATTTCTCATTCTTGCCATAGTTCAGAGCAGTGTTGAAACCAGACACAGTGGTTCCAAGATTGCCTGTCACTACTTGAGCCAAATTGAGCAGGAGACAGGGTTGAATCATTTGTGTGTTTATTTCAATATTACTGGCAAGAAAAATGTCAAAATAAATATTGCTGACAGTATGGGGAGAGCAGTCGGTCACCCTGGAAATTTTGCTCTGATCCCCCTCATCAGTGGACTGATTATATACGAATGAGGGAGATGATAACTACATGCAGTTTCAAGCTGCAAGTGTAACATGGAACGGAGAGGGTAGTGCCTGCAGTCCAGGCTTCAGGAGTTCAAAGTCCGATAATAAGGTGGCTAATCTTCTATGATGTTATAAACAGCTCAGCCCATTCCTGGGACCGGAGAATGGTTAGCATTTCTGAGGCAAACGTCCAGAGGGGGCAGGGTCCAGGCACAGTGACCAAATCAAAGCATGTCCTGTCCTTGATCTGTTCTCAAAATCTATTTCTTTTCTGAGTAATGGGCCCATTGAGACCCATTGTTTCATCCTCTAGTTTTCCAGGGTCTTTAAGAAAACTTTCTATTGATAATAAGGAGAATGATTATTAAACAACTTTGGTTCTATTTTTTAAATATATTTTTATTGATTTCAGAGAGAGGAAGGAAGAGGGAAAGAGGGATAGAAACATCAATGATGAGAGAGAATCATTGATCTGCTGCCTCTTGTGTGCCTCCTACTGGGGATTGAGCCTGCAACCTGGGCATATGCCCTTGACTGGAATAGAACTCAGCCTCTTCAGACCGCAGGCTGATGCTCCACCAACTGTGCCAAACCAGCTATATGACCTTCCCTACTTTGTTGCCAGTCAGATGGCCGTCCATGTGATCATGTAGGGACCCAGGCTCCCTCCATTTTGTGCCTCTATCCTCTTCTGGGCCATTGACAATCTCCTCATGCAGAAAGTGGACAGGAAAGAACAACTGGGATCCAATGTTCAGATTTTAGAAGGGCCTGGACTTTTGAAGGGCCACTACTTTTAACTAGAACTTGGTCAATGACTACAACTCAAGTCTCAAGGGAGCCTGGGAATGTACTCAGCTCCACATCCTGGAGGAGGAACAGGTGGATGAGCAGCTGGCGGGTCTCTGATGGTGCTAGTGTCCTGTTCATGCTGCTGTGTTTTCCAAAGAATCCAAACAAGCCTTTCTGTCAATCTGCATCGCCTTCTAAGTCCTGTTATTTTTCCATTTACAGCCTGCCTCTAGTCTCTCCATCTATAATCGCTTCTCCTTCAAAACATTCTCCACCCAACAGTCCAAGTGACCAAATAATAAAACAGAACAAACCCAAATTAGGTCACATCACTTCCCTGCTTAACATTCTCCAATGATTCCCTACATCATTTGTAATAAAACCCTAACTCCTCTAACTCAGCAATAGAAACCCAAACAGCCCAATTAAAAATGGGCAAAGAAACAGACTCATAAATGCAGAGGACAGACTGAAGGTTACCAGAGAGGAAGGGGTGGGGGGTAAAGGATTGGGAGAAAAAGGTGAGATTAAGAAGTACAAATTGAAAAAAAAAAAAAAAAAAAAGAAGTACAAATTGGCCCTAGCTGGCTTGGCTCAGTGGATAGAGCATCTGTCTGTGGACTCAAGGGTCCCAGGATTAATCCTGGTCAGGGGCATGTACCTTGGTTGTGGGCATATCCCTAGTAGGGGCGTTCAGGAGGAAACTGATCAATGTTTCTCTCTGGATATAGATTTGAAAACTACGGTTATCAGGTTTTTCAAGAATTTTCTAGAAAAGGCCGATAAATTTAGTGAGACCCTCAAGGATATGAAAAAGGACCAACTAGAAATTAAGCATACACTGGCTGAAATAATATAGAGATCCAACAGTAGACTAGAGGATCGCAAGAATCAAGTCAAAGATATGAAATACAACCTGACTGGTTTGGCTCAGTGGATAGAGTGTCAGCCTGAGGACCGAGGGGCCCCAGGTTCAATTCCAGTCAAGGACATGTACCTTGGTTGCAGGCACTTCCCCAGTGGGGGACATGCAGGGGGCAATTAATTGATATTTCTCATCAATGTTTCTAACTATCCTCCCCTCCTTTCTGTAAAAAATCAATAAAATAATATTTTAAAAAATATGAAATACAAAAACGCAAAATACATCCATCAGAAAAGCAAAAAGCAAAAAGAATCCAAAAATATGAAGACAGTGTAATGAGCCTCTGGGACAACTCCAAACATACCAACATCAGAATTATGGGGGTACCAGAAGAAGAGAGAGAGCAAGATACTGAAAACCTATTTGAAGATATAATGACTTCCCGTATCTGGTGAAAGAAATATTACAAGTCCAGGAAGCACACAGAACCCCAAACAAAAGGAATCCAAAGATGACCACACCAAGACACATCATAATTAAAATGCCAAGGGCAAAAGACAAAGAATATTAAAAGCAGCAAGAGAAAAACAGTTACCTACAAGGGAGTACCCATACGACTGTCAGCTGATTTCTCAACAGAAACTATACAGGCCAGAAGGGAGTGGCAAGAAATATTCAAAATGATGAACAGCAAGAACCTACAACCAAGATTACTCTACCCAGCAAAGCTATCATTCAGAATTGAAGGTCAGATAAAGAGCTTCACAGACAAGAAAAAGCTAAAGGACTTCATCACCATCAAACCAGTATTATATGAAATGCTGAAGGGTATTCTTTAAGAAGAGGAAGAAGAAGAAAAAGGTAAAGACAAAATTTATGAACAACAAAGTGACAACAAATACATATCTATCAACAAGTGAATCTAAAAATGGAGTGAATAAAAAGTCTGATGAACAGAATAAACTGGTGAATATAATAGGATCAAGGGCAATGAAAGGGAGTGGATTGATAATCCTTGGGGAGAAAAGGGTGTGGGAGTGTGGGAAGAGACTGGACAAAAATAGTACACCTATGAATGAGGACAGTGGGGTGGGGGGTAAGGGCAGAAGGTGGGGTGGGAACCAGGTGGAGGGGAGCTATGGGGGGGGGGGGGGAAAGAGGAACAACCGTAATAATCTGAACAATAAAGATTAGAAAAAAAAATTGAGCATTTTGACTACTGTGGTTATCTCACATGACCCTTCTCTGTTGTCTAGCCATTCCCCTGATTATTCTTGGATACTCACTGTCCTAAATGCAGATACAGTTGAGTTTGGGGGCAGTGTGGTGGCTCAGGTCCACACTTATCAGCACAGTCCCATTACCTGGCTTCAGGGTCAGCCTATAACCCAAGGGCAGTGGACTAGACTTTCTTTTTAGCTAGGGTAGCTGGGAAGGATATTTCTAGCTCTCTCCTGACTCTAAGATATATAGACATGAGGTTTATTGCTTGAACCGCAACAAGAAGCATTTTGCCACAATGATGAAAGCTGGTTTGAGCATGAAGCTGACATGGAGAAGTGAGGGAAGAAAGACACAAAATAGAGTCCAGGATGATATCTTTGAGCTGCTGGATCAAGCCAGCCTGATGTGCTGAGTCAGGGTACCCAGCACTTTGCAGTACTGGGAGCCAGTGAATCCCCTTGAGTATGTAAACAGTTTGAGCAGCTGCATTGAAAGGTGTCTCCTGCATAATAAGTCTTTCAAATCTCTATCTACGTCTGTAGCTCTCTCT